ATTATTGACTCCATTTTGCCATTTATAATTAATTTTATTACTAAACAAATACACTCATTTCACATTTTCCTTCCTAGATGTCAAAAATGGTCTCTTTAACTTAGGATCAATCCTTTTTTGAGCTATGTTTCTACTATATTTAAAACAACTAGCCCAAATTTCAGGCTGGACTGTGAATGACTTCATCGGAATAAGAATTATCTTACAGAATGAATCTAGCATGTTGATAATACATTATTAAGAGCTTCTCTGGCCAAGATATCAAACTTTAGTTTTAAGAGCTTAAAAATGTATGTACCTTATACATTTAGGGAGTTCAGTTTCTTTTTGGTAATGGATATTTCAGGGCTAAGTTTATCAAACTATATAAACTATTAAATAATAAAAAAAGAAATAGGGAAATAGGGTAAGAAGAATTACATAAAACCTAGCTATTATTTTGAAAATTTATATTTTCAAAATATAAAGGAGTCTTCCCTCCCATCTGTAAAATATTTCTACTTCATAAATCATTCTTTACATTTCCTTGGTAAGAGAGGTAAGGACATCTAATAGTACACTCCTTTAACTAGTTATAGAGTATGTAGCTACATATAAATGTGGTCTTCAGTGGTCTATGGGAACTTAAGGAAAGAAAGCTTATCTAAATGAACTCAAATCAGTTTTTCTTCACACAAACACAATAAATGCTTGGTTACATCAGTCCAGCTTATTCACAAGAGAGTCAGATCATTGACCAGTCTATGACCTGCAACCCATGTAAACAATCACGGAATACATAAAAGGTACGAGCCTATGAAGGGCACAACTTAGTAGATATATTTAACATTTTTGTTTTTCATGTAAAGATTTTAGGGCACTTCTTTTGGGGAACAGAAAAAGATTTGTCATGAAACACGCTTTTCAAACAAGCTAAGGATCTGAGTGATGAACTCACCCTCCTGATATGCTAGAATAGAACCAACCACCTGGCTATTGGCTCATTTGCATTAAAATATGTTCTTAGACAGAGGACAGAGCTTGATGGCAGAAAAGCAGTTTTGGAGTAGAATCTCTGAAATCACAGGTTCAAATCCCATGAGTTTTTTTTATTTTTTTAATATTTCATCTCTTTGATGTACAGAATACTGTTCTGTATGTGACTTTTTTTTTTTTTAAATGAGACTTTACAGGGCTCATATAAAATTCAGACCAACATACCCTTAGTTAATAATTTCTGTCTCAATCACAAAAACTTATCTAGAATTTAAATCCTAGTCTGAAAGGAGACTTATATCTATGTCTATATATTAATAAAAGGCATTGCATGATTTGTTTCGGGGGTGGAGGGGGACAGACAAGGGGAAGGGGCTTCTCTGGTCTTTCTTGTCTCCATGCAGACACCAATTCCCAACTCATCTGGCCATAGTCTTGTATTTGAGGAAAAGAACTTAGTCTGTCCTCCTGCTCCACATCCTTTGTGGTAAAAAGTCTTTATCACCACTAACACCATTCCCACTATTGCCTTCCACCCCAGGCGATTAGAAGACAATATTACTTTCTTTTTACAAATAAGAGAAGTTAAACATTTAGCCATATGTCCTACTACAAATCAGTCAGTCATAAAGCAAGATCTAACTCTAACACTACAGAATTTCAGTCCAATTCATTTTCTACTATGCTATGTCTCAAGTGAATCTATTTGCATTTCTTAAATATTCTCATCTGTCTTTCTGAAGCTTATTTTCCATTTTATCTTTTTAATGGAGTTAACATCTACTTTCTTCCTTTTGATAGTCTTATTTGAAATGGCTATAATATCAATTTTATTATTATACCCTTAAGATTACTTCTTACTAATAAATATTCCAATAGGTAAATGAAAAGAGACTATAAACAATTTGGAAGGCTGAGCAC